CCCTTATTAAAGTCACCCTTGCCTTCACCAGTAATCTAATGTCGTCACAAGTATTTGGAAGGTAACACGGGATGGATATTACCTGGAAAGCAGGATCCTCCTCCTATATCCTCCTACCCCCCTCCACCCCCACCCCTCCGCGGGCCCCAGAAATGTATGTCCAATCGTAACAATAACAACGCTTGCTCCATTTCTTCTTGTGTACTTGCCTTTTCACACCGCAAGATGAGGTCCGGTCTAGGCTTTCTGACTTATACTTTTCGCTCCTCTAGTAAAGGAGGGCGCGTCACTGTGAACTACAAAAACAAAGAAAAATGTTATGCGATGGGTTATGCAAGTCAAATGAGACCGTTCAGATAACATGAAAACAAACATTCATTTTTTAAAACTATAAGCTCTAAATAATCTTCCTCCACAGGGCAACCAACTACGAGGTACCTCTAAGGTCGAGAGAGAGAAAAAAGGGCAAAGGTCACCTTGATCAAAGTCAAACGAGCATGGTAGACAACCGAGAATTTTACAAAAACGTATTCATCCTAACCGATGGTAGGGAAATTAACGTGCAGTATTTTGATTCCTCTTGCTCATGCTCCAAATCTTTATATCACGAAGTTGTAATTAATGACAGTAATCAGGGAAATGGTGGACTTAAATGATGTTATGCATCACATCCAAAACCAAAGATTCAAATGGTCCGGACATCTCATGCGATTACCAGTACACCACCTAGAACAACACGCCTACATAAAAAAAGAATTCGATGGCAACAAAGCTAGAGGGCGACCGAGAAAGACCTGGATAGATGGAGTCAGGGAAACATTAAGAACTCACAGCATCCCCCAGACCCAAGCTCTCCGGCAGGCGACAGAGAGACGTCTCTTTCTTCCCCCAACACTCAAAAGTAAAAGTAAAGTAAGTAATTAATGACACTCGTAAAAATTCACAGTTGGTAAATAAATAAGAAAAAATAAATTGCACTTTTAGCGAATCCAGAAGGCCAATTTGGTTTACAATAGCAATCATACATACCCACAGTACACATACATACATAATATGCATACATATCAAATTAAATACGTGCACAAAAATCATACATAAAAATACGCAAATTTACAACAATGCGTTTTCCGGTCGCCACTGTGCAGCGCCCTGTATTTTGAGCAAGGGTTGCCGGGTCTTGCTTAAGGACACACCCAAGCGACTACCCATCTATATCCGTGTCACCGACACTTGCTTGACATCATTTTAGTCTGAACTCACTGCTCACTTAGCCACTGACAAAGCCAGGACAACAGTGAGGGTGAATTTTACTATCGTACTCGAAGTCTAAATCCAAAGTAGCAAACACATGTCTACTCACAGGCGGTGGAACTGGCTTGACACACTGATCGTTGACGGTTTATCAAATATGCCAGATCGAAAGCTGTTGTCTATGTCTAAGGCTGAAAATATACTGCCCCGCAAAACTGAAGCCAAAAAAGTCGTACCCTCCTCTTTATTTCCTATCGATGATTCCACTCATACGACAAGACGTGAGTGAGTTGTGAGGACCCAAAAAGACGCGTGTGCGTGCAGCACTTCTTTTTCGCGTGCGGATAGGCTCGAACTGCTATCGGAGTGTTCCAGGACGATGTGGAGATTTAAAAAAAACAAAGAGG